GGCCTGCAAAAACTTTCTAATTTTGTAGATTCTCACAGAAGAGGAAAGAATGATAACAAAGGTTTGTGGCTTGGACTCTCTGTCCGAGCCTGCTCACTGTGATTGGCCATTAATTAGAAACATCCAACATGGGCCAATCACAGATCCATCTGTTGCATTCCACAGCAGCAGATAATCAATGTTTATATTTTGTTCCTGAGGCCTCTCAGCTTCTCAGGAGGAAAGGATTTTTCCTTAGGATTTGCCTAAGGAAAGGCAAAGGGGACTGTCACAGACATCTTTTACGAAACATCCGAAGGAAAGGACTTTTCCCAAAAGATGTCTGTGACAGTCCCCCGTGCCTGCCAGCCACGCTGCTGCCGTTTCCAGCTGGGAAGGGCAGCGTGCCGTGGTGGCAGCTCTGGTGCTTCCTCCGGCAGTGATGCAGACGGGCGAGAGCGGGCTGACGGTGTTCCGGCTGCTGACCAAGGACAAGCGCTGGAAGTGGGTGCAGGCCAACGCCCGGCTCGTCTACAGGAACGGCAACCCCGAGTACATCGTGGTCACACAGAGGCCCCTCGTGTACGTGCTGGGCTGGCGTGGGCACAGCCTGCCTTTCTCCATGGCTCCGGGGTGTGCTGAGCAGGGCTGCGTGTTGGGTTTGTCCTTTGTTGCTGCAGCTGTGGGATTCTGTGCTTGGCACTGTTCAGGCGCATCCCCGTCTGCAAGGCCAGCCCTCAACAGGGGTGATGCTCAGTCACGCTGCAGATGTTTGGTTTTTTTGTGTGTGTTTGTGTGTGTGAATGCATGCTGGCTGGAGCAAAGGGGCTTTGGCTTGCAGGGATCACAGCTGCCCATTACAGAAGCACTTGTGTGACAGTGTTCACAGGGGATTTCAGGTGAGGGAAGAGACGAGAATGTTGACTCCATGTTCAGAAGGCTTGATTTATTATTTTATGATATATATATAGATTACATTAAAACTATACTAAAAAGAATAGAAGGAAAAGTTTCATCTCAGAAGGCTAGCTAAGCTAAGAATAGAATGGAAAGGAATAAAAAACAAAGGTTTGTGGCTCGGACAGACAGAGAGAGCCAACTCTGCCGTGACTGGTCACTAATTCCAAACATCCACACGAGATGGATCCAGTCACGGATCCACCTGTTGCATTCCACAGCAGTAGATAACCATTGTTTACATTTTGTTTCTGAGGCCTCACAGCTTCTCAGAAGGAATAATCCTTAAGAAAAGGACTTTCACAAAAGATGTCTGCGACACACTTGTGGGGTGGGTGTGTGTCAGCTGCAATGTCCTCTTCCTGCCCTGCAGAGATGAAGAAGGAGGAGAGCACCTTCGGAAGCGGTCCATGCACCTTCCCTTCACCTTTGCTACAGGAGAGGCGCTTCTATACCAAAGTTCTCATCCTCTCCCAGGCTTCCCTGACCTTTTCCAGAGCAAAGGGAAGCTCAGCAAGTCCAAGAAGCCCCCCTGCAGCCACGCAGGGCGCTCCCAGAGGAACGGCATTGACCCCAGGTCTCTGCTGGGCGCTGTGATGCAGCAGGACAAGGCGGTGTACACCTCCCACTCAGCTCCCATTCCCAACCCTTCCTTCAGCAGCACTTTCCAGCTCAAGGGTGTGTCCTTGCCAGGTGCAGGAGGGGATGCCTGGGGTATGGGCACAGCTCCAGCTTCTTCAAGGGGCAACAGCCTCCAAGAGAAGCTGCTGGATTTGCAGCAGGAGGACCCTCTCTTGGCCACCATGGACTTGCTCTCAATTAAGAGTGACCAGAGCTGTTCCAACGAGCTCTTCAGTGCTTTGGAGGGCCTGGGCTTGAATGCTGAGGACCTGGGGCTCCTGCTGCTGGATGAGAAAATGGTGATGGTCAGAACGGACCCAGACCAGTCACCATCCCTGAATAACAGCCTGGCCAGCAACCAGATTCTTTCCCATGTCCCCAGGCCTCCCGCGGATGGGCATGAGGGAGGGCAGCAGGTCTGTCCCCTGCCAGGCACGCCCCCCAGCCC